TTTTGAGTTTTATCAGGGAGGTGGTAGAACTTACTACCATTTATTCAACTCTCTTAGACACTACTAGAGACTTTCCATTTTCCTAGTACAGCAGCCCTGTGAGGTGGTTTTCACTTTCCAGGTGGGCAGGTGGAGTAACTGACCTTAGGTCAGGGAGTTGGCCAGGCCAGTCCTGCTGCAGCACCAGTGCTCTTGCCTCTGCCCAGCAGCGCAGTGCAGCCCTCACTTCTTGGAAGTTGTATCCTTTCTTTCAGTGTAAGAATGAAGAGTAGTTTGGCACAAGGCTTCTGGGATCTTAAAGACTGGTAACTCCTGTAGCATCTCATGTTCATACCATGCCAGTTGAGTACAGTACTTAAGTTTTTGCTCATACATCTTGATATAAGTTATGCAAGTAAAATGGAGTTGCTTTGCAATTTTAAACTATTAGATATAGATTAAAATTTAGCACTGATAACTATACTTTAGGCTTATGAGTACAGGAGCCCTGTTTAAAATGTTAAATAAAAAAAATATTAAGTGTAAGCTGGAGCAAGGTCTTAGTAATTCTCATATAATAAATTACGGATAAATAAAATGAGTCTATGGTCTTTTTTTCCCCTATAATCTTTCATAGAAATATCTCAAAGTGAATTTTTGTGTGATTGTTTTTGTTCCTCTCCAGATAATGTGTTGTTGTTCTTTCATTGAAAGTCCATTGGCAGTTACAGCTTTTGTGAAGTTGATTCTGCAAGAGCATGTATCACTTCAACTTGTTCCACTTAGGGGTTAACATCCAAAATACATTTCTACCCCAAGACTGCAATAAGATTATATAACCTACTTGTTAATTTCTGTGATTGTGGGGGTTTTTTTCTAATTATTTGTAGTGAAGTAAAGCTTTATGATCTGTGGCATGGTGAGAGCAAAGACATTTCTAAGTGAAAAATAAAGTTGCATTAAGCAACTAAGGATTGTAACTGTAAAGGCCATCAACATGTATCCCCCTCCCTTACTTACTTAAAAGGTGGTTTAAAGCTATGGTCCCCAGAGCCAGTCCCTGTCTGTGGCCTGTTAGGAACCAGGCCGTGCATCACCACCTGAGCTCCCCTGCCTGGTGCCAAAAAGCTTGAGGACCACTGGCTTAAGGTGTATACTAGTGTACCTCTGTTGGTTGTTATCCTTTGAAATTTGTTATAAGATAAGGCAATATTGTACATATAGTTAGTAGGAGCAAAGTTCTCTGTTATTAAAATAGTGTCAGATGAACTGTTAAGGAATTGCTCCTTCCTGAAAATGTGTGTCTGTCTACTAGCCAATTTTATGATGTCCTTTTGGGCACTAAGCATGCATTAAATTGCATGGTTAGATTGATTTGGAGTAATTTCTTTTTGAAAGAATATGTGCCAATTCTTTTTCCTCTCCAAAGGAAGAAATGGTTTCAGACCATAGGCTCTGTGCCTAATGTCAATTCCATAAGGTTCCTCTGTTGTGTTTTTCCTCCCCCTGCCTCCCATAACTGGACTTTGCCATGAGGAAGATGTGTACCTATAATCAGGCATTTCTTTATTTTAGGGTTATTTGTCATTTCAGAGAGCATGGACTTTTGAGAACAGGCTTAAGTTGGGGGAGGCAAAGTTATATAAACTGTATTCTTAGTTAAATATTTGCTTCCAGGGAAGGTGAAAAATGCTTTGTACTTTTTCCTTTGGCTTTTTTCCTCCTAAAGAGCTTGTCATGCAACAACAACAAAAAAGTGGCCAAAGGCAGAGAAAAACTCTTCTCTTTTCCATGTTGATTTGTTTTTATTGTAAGACAGACCTTTCATGTTTTATTGTTATGAAGTTTAAACTGGGCCTAGAGGTGCCAATCTTTAGTGGAAACAGCTGCAGAGTTGGTGTCCCCTGATCAGGTGGGACTTTCTTTGAAGCAACATGTTGCCTTTTAAAAGAGAATTGAGCATGTGAGAACTTGAATCTGTAAAACTCATCAGCAGTTCCACCATAGTTTATCTCTTAAGTAACTGAGATAGCTAACTTTAAGTAAAACATTGCAATTAAAAATCACTTTTTTCTGAAGAAACTAGTTTTTGTTACTTTGTGTCTTAAAAATATAGAAATGAAGAAAAAAATCACCCTTAAGAATTGAGATGGTCCAGTTTAACTGAGACCATAGAGCATGCTATTCCTTGACAACTCTTTATTTTGGCTCGTGTGAACTGCGATTTTGATCTCGTATTTATACTTACAGATAAAGGTTTGTAATAGGAGCCAAACTGGTTGGTTGGGCATATATCTGAATTCTAGAGATTGAAGATTTTCTACTCTGTATTGATTGATGTTGAATCATTTCTCATCTTTTTGACTGAGTGATACTGGTAGCAGTGGACTTAGCATCATTCTTGGTCTACTACTAGGAAAAGTTGTGCATCAGAGAGCTTTCTTTCCATGGGGGAAAATAGAAGAGACAAGCATGGAGTCAGAGGGACAAGAAAAATGCTGAAATATTTTCCTTTTGGGCTTTTGATTTCTTTGCCAAAAAATTGCCTCCAGATGGAGAAGAGCAAAAGCTCTGATTGTGAGCCATTATGTTTTTACTGGCCTACCTCCCCATCCCGTTGCCTGGTTTGGAATCTGTAAGCCAGCCCAAATCCTTTACCTCATTTTCTAGTACCAATTTACTGTCTTACTCATCTTCCAGCTGCAAGGGGTGAGGCAAGTTGCCCTGAAATTGAATGCTGTGCCATTTTATAAATCAAGCAACAGCAGATTCTTGCCAAGGAGCATCAGTATTAATGGCTTCCATTTCTCTGAAGTTCTTGAATCACACCTACCAGGTAGACTTCTTGTGTCTGTGACTTGTGTGGTAGGATTAGTCTGGGAATGAATCTAAACAAGCCCTTCTGGCTTTGTGTAGACTTGTTACTGCCCTGGTTGCCTAGTGTTCTCGGCTATTGCTTGGGGAGCACAGTTCGATTTTGGACTGTATCTTCACTGGCAGTTGAAATCTTGACACTCCAATTTCCCCCAAGAGGGTAGTGATTTAGGGGTTAAAGTTGTAGGGGAATCCAGTGTCTGGGCATAGTGGGTACAGTGGCATTGGAGTCTGGCAGACTCGAGCCTGGTTCACTGCTCTACAACTAAACAGAGTATCCTTGGGCAAGGTATTTTCTGCATCTGGAAAATGGGTTGTTTGGTTTAAAAGAATATTGGGGAGCGGAGAGAATATTGGATACTCATGGGCAGTACTCAGATGTTGGTTTCTTTCCCTTTTCATCATGTCAACCTTGATTATAGTATGTAAACTGACAAGTCTTCCACCATTTTATTAAATTATATGGAAATTGGGATGACAAATGATTTTCAGATATTACATTTTAAAGTTGGGCACCAAAATAGTACCTAACACAGGATCTGTTGGATAGGGCAAAGTAAGGATTTTTAATTAAAATTTGTGTTTGTGTAAGATACAGTCACATATAATATGAAACACACATCATGGCCACATATATATGGTAGGAGAGAATGATCAGAAGTCATTCTGTGTAAATAGCATGAATATTAAGTACTTCCTTTAGGCTAACTAACACAAGCTGGATTGTGCATAGGTGCAAAAAGAATCACTGGGGTCAGAAAGGATGTAGATTAGCTTGCTTGCTCTTGATGAAGCTTTTTGCTTTTGGTGCAGAAAGGTCAGGGTGAGGGACTGAGGAATATTCTGAATTTTTACACTGCACCAGCCCGAAATCATGGCGAGACAGAGAAGACACTCTCAGAATTTTAGTAGCACAAATTTGAGAACTATTAAGTGAGATGGGGCCTTGCATGTGATACTTACTTATAAAGAGGTTGGTCAGGGCCTCTGTTGGACCATGGAGCAATACTCAGGAAAGAGCATCAGAAATCTCTGAAAGGTCTTTGAAAATCACTGTCCATCAAGTCTGAAAAATTAAAAAGAATCAGATTTTAGCTCTCTTCCTTGGCATGTGTAGCTTATTTTTTTTAATAATGGAGAAGTTAGTTTATCTTAAAGTATGGGAGATATATCACTATAGTATGTGAGGTGATTTTTTTTAAGTTATATCACAGACAAATATTTTTAATATACTTTGAGGGAAAAAGTAAAACACTCAAATCTATGATTATACCAATATTATTATTTGAGGCTAAGTTTATTAAATACATGCATTGATTTTTTTTTAAGGAGTAAATAATAGTGCAGGTGGTGTGTAGATGTAGCAGAAATTATGAAGGTGGCACCAGAATGACCATGGTTTCAGAAATACTGGTAAAAATAAGGATTTTTTTAAAAGAACTTTCCTTTTTTTAAGTTTAGATTTCCCATGAAGTTTAATTTAAAATTAGATACTAATTTTTTTTCTACCAGACCACTAACAAAGGCCTATTTGTCTTTTATTTTAAAAGATAGTGGTTAAAAGTGCTCTATGTGTAAAAAGAGGATTAATCTTCACATTTGGGGCTCACGAGGCATGTCGCTTTCCTCTCTCTGGACACTGACTTGTGTACTGGTGCAGCCTTTAGGATTATTTTGGATCACTCATTTCCATCTTCCTGAAAAAGTAGCTGCTACTCAAAGTGCTGAAGTGACAAAGGGAGCTTCGTGTCGCACTGTTTATCTGACATTTTGGCTGTGGCACCCCTGTGTGAGGTGGCTGGGAAAGCCCAGGATGCAGAGAGAGTCTACTCTAGACAGTCTTTTGGCTTGCCTCCCTGCCCCCACCCCATATCCCACAACTTTTCTGGATGGAACAGGGAATAAAGTTTTTACTTTATTTATTTTATTCCCCCTATGGGCAGAGGACCAAAGGCATCTGTAAAGCCTCTGACAATAAGAAAGGTTAGAGATGAGAAAATCAACTCTATACCTAATTATGAAAAAAAAATCAGGTTTATGATGTTATCTTTGTCAAATTTCTATTATTATCACAGCAGTCTGTATTAAAAAAGAAAAACAAAAGTTTCTATTATGAGGTTCAACATGTTTTTTCTCCCTCTTTGTAGGTACTGGTCTGGGATTAGGAATTGTTTTCTCACTTACCTTCTTTAAAAGTAAGTTTGACTTTATTATCTTTTCAACACACTGTCATAGTGTATACATACACATAGCAGGGGCACTTTTGGAAGATGTGTCTGAGTGGCTGCCAGACATTTATGGGGTTAGGTAGGTAGGCCAAAGAATGTGGACTTCAGAGGTCAAGATGGGTTGGGCCAGCTTTCCCCCTGGGCATTGAGTCAGGGTGCCTGTTATCTTAAATATGATAGCATTTCAAAAGCCTGTACTTGATGCTAGTGAGTCATTTGGCCAAATCTACATGCTTCAATATTTCTAATTAATTATAATTTTTTCTAGAGGAACTTGAAAATCAGAGTCCTGCCGGTAATAAAAACAAGTAGACCAGAAATGCACATGCTTCCTGGCCAAAAATTCTTCTAAGCAAAGGGCAGGCAATATTCCTTTCATTCTGTGGAGGAACTTCTGAAGTTTGGATATTAAATAGAAGTCAGGGGTCGCTTTGACCTCTTTCCATGAAGAACTGACAGGAAATAACATAACAAGAGAATTATAATTAATATAGTGCTGATATGAAGTAATCATTTACAGATTGGCTTACTGTGATCAAAGGATGTAAATATTGGTGAAAATCTTACATATTTTTAGAATTCAAGCATCTTGCTGAAAGGTAGTATTACTTCTGATATGGTTAAGAAATTTACACTGAGCAGATGATTAGAACTGATATAGAACTTAAAGGTTTCAACTGTGTCTACTGTTGGCATATTGTACCACTTATTTTCCTTGAACCTAGCAACATAGGTACTTAACATCTATTTGCTAAATTAATGAGTTTACTAATTAATAGCCCCCCTTTTGGCCATTGATGAAACGTTGATAAAAATGTATGAATTATTATAGTTATCAGTATGATGCATATGGAATATTTCTTGAACCCTAAGCACAATTGTATTTAAGGGGATTGGGGAGCTTTATTATCTCTTAATGATTCCCTGGTGGGATTTTCCTTTTTCTGATCACTAGGAAGAATGTGGCCATTAGCCTTTGGTTCTGGCATGGGATTGGGAATGGCTTACTCCAACTGTCAGCATGATTTCCAGGCTCCATATCTTCTACATGGAAAATATGTCAAAGTATGTACAACATTTGTATTTCTCTTTCTGTTAGAAGGAAAAGAGGTTTCTCCTGAGCCCCTGAAGGATTCTTTAGAGTGTATGTAATGAATAAACTGTGTGCCATTGTAGCACCACTGACATCCTAATTGCTCTTTGGCCTTTGGTGACATCAGCGCTGCTTTGGTGCTAAAAGTCTCTCCCCTTTGCCTTCAGATGCACATGTGCATTCAGACCTATATGCATATGTTAGCTGATTGAAATTAATGAACTTGCCTGAGTGTTTATCATCAGTGGTAGATTTGTGTTAACTATCTGTAAGTAGCACTTTTCATTTAAGTTCTCAGAGTGTCCGGTAAACATCTCACACATACTTAAGCTAAAACCAAAGACTACAGGGACTCAGCCATTATTCTATGTTTTAATTGAAGAAAGCAGTTTTGACTGTAAGTCCTGCCTGATTCTGCCAAAGTCCTATTCTTCAGATGGATTTTTAATGCTGCAAACAAGGCCAGAAAATTATTACCCATGTCTCAAAAAGGAAGAAGATAGCATGTTTCCTGAAGGGTTCACATGTAGCCACCTTTCCCTTTGCCTTTATTTATTTATTTTTATTTTTCCTTTTTTTTTTTGAGACTGGGCCTCACTCACTTGCCCTGGAATGCAGTGGTATCATTATAGCTTATTGCAGCTTTGAACTCCTGGGCTCAAGGGATCCTCCTGCCCCAGTCTCCTGAGTAGCTGAGATTTACAGGTGCACACCACCATGCCTAGATAATTGTATTTTTTGTAGAGATGGAGGTCTTGTTGTGCTGCCCAGGCTGATCTTGAACGTCTGGTCTCAAGTGATCCTCCCACCTCAGCCTCCCAAAGTGCTGGGATGACAGGCATGAGCCACTGCGGCCCACCTCCCTTTGTCTTTAGATGATTGGTCACCCTGGGGTTTAAGTGACAGGATCATGGGAGGCTGGGTGCTCAAGGGCAGAGGTGGTACCTACTTTTGTATCCCCAGGGTCTGAAACAAAGTAAGCACTTAAATAAATGTAAGATGGGCTGGTGAGGTGGCTCACACCTGTAACCCCAGCACTCTGGGAGGCCGAGGTGGGAGGATCGCTCGAGGTCAGGAGTTCGAAACCAGCCTGAGCAAGAGCGAGACCCCGTCTCTACTATAAATAGAAAGACATTTATTGGGCAACTAAAAATATATAGAAAAAACTAGCCGGGCATGGTGGCGCATGCCTGTAGTCCCAGCTACTCGGGAGGCTGAGGCAGCAGGATTGCTTGAGCTCAGGAGTTTGAGGTTGCTGTGAGCTAGGCTGATGCTATGGCACTTACTCTAGCCTGGGCAACAAAGCGAGACTCTGTCTCTAAATGAATGAATGAAATGAATGTAAGATGAATGGATGAAGTAAATAGTTTAGTCTGTTAGAGGTAAATGCTAATGGTCTCAGGCTTACTAAGGCATAACTCTTGTAGCAGCACAACCTTCATTGAAGAACTTCATACTTCCTGCATGCATTGAATCTTCCACTTTTCAGCTTACGTTTGAGCTAGAATCACTGTGATTCGGGCAGCAGCTGGGGCTAGTGGAAAGAGAACAGAAGCTGGGAGACCTGGGCGCAGATTAGGCGGTTCACTTCCAAGCTTCCATTTTCCACCCATAAAATAAGGATAATAATTTCTACCAGTAGGGTTGTTGTGAGAATTAAATGTGAAAATGAGGTGGGCACAGTGGCACATACCTATAGTTCCAGCTATTCTGGAGGCCAAGGTGGGAGGATTGCCTGAGGCCAGGAGTTCAAGACCTGCCTAGGCAACCTATTAAGGCCCCCATCTCAAAAAAAAAAAAAAAATTTCAAATGTGAAAATGTTTTTAAGCTGTAAGGTGCTATAGAAATAGGAACACTGGTTATTATAGTTGAGGCCAACCAAGAAAGGGTGATTGACTTGTCCATTGTTCCACCATAATAACAAGTAGAATGTAAAATGTGGTACAAACACATGTCCTAATTCTAGTCAAGGGCTGTGGCCACAAGAGTCACTGAATCTCAAGTAGCATCCTACCACAGCCCCACACCTTCCGTCGTAGAATCCACTCGCTCACACTCTGGCAGCTGCCTCCCCACCGACCTGTGTGTGCTGAAGAGACAGTGGAAGCAGGGAAGTTAATATTAATGAACCAACTCTGCGCCATAGCAAGAGCGAGGTCATCAGAGGGACAGTGCAGGAAGAGGCGCAGCTGTGTGGCACCAAAGGCCATGACAGCCCCTCTCCACTGCTCCTGGCTCCTCACTCCTGGCACTAGAGCCAAGTGTGGGGAACAGAAAGGAGCAGGGAGAGGAGCTGCAGGTCTTTTAATTGTTTAAAATGTTTCCATTGTTCCAAACTCCTCAGGCATAATGGCCCAGGGGTGATTATATGCATATTATGTATTTAATGGCTGGGAGGTACTGTGGAAAATATTGTTACATTTTTTACAGGCTTGCGTATATTGCTCCAAAATGGCCTTGTAACTTTATCTGAACTTGAGTCTGAGCCTCGATGTTGTCATCCTCCACTTTCTCAGAAAAAGAGAGCAAAAGCCCAACTTGAGGTTTATTTGGTATAGTCATATTGTGATAACTGCTCGTTAAATACCTGACATGCCTTGTGGACCATCCTGGCTTTATATGCTTTCTCTCTGGACCTCCCAGTGGATTTATGAAAGGTGTTACTGTCCTCATTCAGCAGATGAGAAAACAGAATCTTACTGAGGTTAAGAAACCTGCCAAAGATCTTGTAATTTGCAGACTGTTAGATTTGAGCCATGCTCTTCCCTCTCCCCTGTGATTCTTCCATAGGTTTTAGGAGTAGTGATGGTTTGGCCCTGTTCTAATCCTTTCCCATTCTCCCTCAAAGATTAGGGGGACTACTCTTCTGAACCTGGGTGAGGTGTACACAGTCCTAGAGTGAGACAGTTTTAAAGCAAACAGTGTGGTAAGGTTTTTTGGCCCCATTGGTCCTTTGGGTCTGACCTGACACAGCAATTATTATTATTTTTTTAATAGAGACAGAATCTCACTCTGTCACCTAGGCTAGAGTGCAGTGGCATGATCACAGCCTGGCATGATCACAGTGGCATGATCACAGCTCACTGCTTGAGCTCCCGGGCTCAAGCAGTCTTCCTGCCTCAGCCTCCCAAGTAGCTGGGACTACAGGTACTCACCATCATGCCCATTTAGTTTTTTTTAATTTTCATAGAGACAGAGTCTCGCTATGTTGCCCAGGCTGGTCTTGAACTCCTGACCTCAAGTGATCCTCCTGCCTTGGCAAAGTACCAGGATATAGGCATGAGCCACCTCGCCCAGTCAGACACAGCAGTTAGAGAGGATTGTCCAGATGCTTTCTGTGCGCTTCTCACCTGACTGCCCTTGCTTTACAGGAGCAGGAGCAGTGACTTACACCTGAGAACACCCCAGTGGGAGGAAAAGAGAAATCATGTTTATTCCTCAGGAATACTGAAGTGCCCTGGAGTAAGCTGACATTCTTCTGTAACAATGTTATCAGTAATGCTTTAAACTCCAGTACACTATTTATGTATTTGAAACCAAGTCTGTTTCTTGTTTTGTATTTTCTCTCTGGAAATTGTAAGGAAGTGGTCTTAAGAGAAATAAATTAAAAATAGGAAGCCCATTGCATGGCCTTTGTTTCTTTGCCTTTTAGTCTCTGAGTGTCAGGACTGTTTGAACAGCACGCAGCTGTGACCTTCTGGTCACAACCTTTCTGAGAGCCCTCCTGAAACCACAGCCATCGTATGTTCCTTCCCACTCTCCTCCTAAAGTGTAATTTTCAGAACTGCTTCCACGCCATAAATCGGAGGTTGGAGATTGCTGCTGCGTGTTCTGATGAAGATGACCGGTGTCTCGAGGTGCCTTTCCTTGCTGTTGCAGCTCTTTGTGTGTTGCTCCCACCAGTGGACTCAGCAGGGCATGCCTCAGCTGTGCCTGCCGCACTGAAGTCCAGCAGCCGCCGCATCAGCAGAGGATGAAACCTGACTGTGGACGGCCCACTTCATTGCTGTCAAGTCCTGCGGCTACACAGCTTAACACAGTCCAAGCTTCAGCCCTGGCGGGGGAGAAGGCTCCAGGCACAGGCAACTGGCTGGAAGGCCATGTTTGGGGTTAATTTTATCTTCACTTAGCAGCTGAGGTTTGAGGACAAAGGGCCATTTCTAATACCCCTCTGTCAGTTTGTTCTTGTGATTTCACCTGAATATGGTAGTCTGGACACAAAGTAATATTTTAGCAATTTCTTCTGAAAATATACAGAACTCCAGAGGTCAGGCTTTCTTATCTTATTTCTTTCTTTACCGTGCAATTAAGATGGGCAGAGCTTGATCTCACTGCCACTTTATTCTGTAAATATTGATTGAGCATCAACTACAAGCCAGACACTGTTGTAGGCAGTGTGGGTCAATGTCTAAAAAGGACATGGGCCCCTGCCTTCAGGGAGCTTAGAGTCTGGTGGAAAGACAGACATGCAGCCACTTACGACTCTGAAAGAGAATTGTTTCAAAGTGCAGTGAGAACAAAGAAGGAGCAGCTAAGTTTCCTTTGGACAGCCTCGTGGAGGACGGAACATGTGGACTCAGATTGAAGTTGACCGGGGCATTGCAGCTGCACAGGGAAGGTGAATTCTGTGAAGGCTCAGGATCATGAAAGTGCTTGTTATAGCTGGGAAACTACACGCGGTCCAGTGTAGCCAGGATGTACAGGGGAAGGGGGTGTGGAGGGATGAGGCAGGCAGGGAACCCAGATAGAGCTTGTGTCTGACCCAGTTCTGGAACATTTATTAGACCTTAGTTCTTCCAAGTGCTGTAATGAGTTGATTCAGGGTAACAGTGTACACTCCCTTTACCCTCCGTTTTTCCTTCTTTCATCCTTTACCCCACTCCCCTTTCTAGAAAGGCATGCTAGGCTCTGGACCTGAACAGGCAGCAGTGATGCTCTGCCCTTCAAACTATCCAGGCTTTCTGGGCTTGTTTGTATCTTTGAATTACCTAAAACCCAGAGTCAGTATGAACTTAGGACTGGAAGTCATGGCCACTTGGCCCTCTTCATTCCATGATCAAGACAATACATGTAACTAAAAATAATGTGGGACCTGTTTCATCCCTTCCACTTGTCTTCTCCATATTTGCTTTAAAAGTTAATATTCCCCCTGCATTTTTCCACCATTTTTCCATCTTCATTCAGGCAGAGAGAAGAATAACAGGTCCCCTTCCAAAAGAGACAAAGTCAGAAAACAAAATGTGCCCACAAATCCTCTACATACGGAGTGGCGAGGGATATTGGAATCAAGTTTCTGTCTCATTAGTTGTCAGATCGTAGGCATTTATTTGGACGGATCCCTTTGCCCAGCACCTTTGAAACACCACTGGAGTGCTTTGGGACACCGTCAGCTCCGTGAGGGAACAGTTCTGGGCAAAGGCCAGCCAAAGGAAGCACTGGCTGTTTGGTTTAATTCCGGAGTACTTTGTATTCCCACCTTGTAGTCCTTAGCAGAGACTGGCCCAAAGCACATGCTCGATCTTGTCCCTACTCCCTGCCTGCATCTCAAATCAACCTTCAGAAAGTCCCAGCTTATTGGCAAAGGCACACATTCTGTTCCACTTTAAGTTTCATTAGAAATTCAAGTCCTCCAGGGCCCTGTTCCCTCGTGGGCTTGTACAACTTTGCCTTTGCCTCTTGTCTGCCTTTCTGGAACCAAGTACAAGGAAATTCATGGTTTCGGAGAGAGAGAGATGGGAACCCAGCTGGGCACAGGATCCTAGGATAAGGCTGCGGCGCCCCAAAAGTGGCCTCCTCTGCCAACATACATAAATACATACAGTCTGAGCTTGACACTGTGTAATTTGGCCCAGAACAATATGTATTTTGAACTCATTTAGGTGAATGACTTTGGCATTCCAAGTACCCACTGGGGGAGCCTTTATCAGACTGTATTTGCCTTATGCAGAAGTATGTCTTTGTTCTAAGAAATGGCCTCAGAACACACTCTGTTGAGCTGTCTCCTTTAGTGAGTGTCATCTTCTCCTCCATTTCAAAAGCTCCAAGGATGCCGTCTTGAAATCCTGCTGGTAGGAAGCGCAGGGATCGGGAATGAGGGTGTGGAGGGGGATGACTATGTAGCTTTGCTTCTAGTTTTCCCAAGCCTCACTGTTTACATTTTTTTTTTTTTTTTATGTAACCAAGCCATAATTGCCTTTTACTTGTCGTGGTTCAATCTGATTGTATTGTTGAAGGACTATTTTTGAACCTGTCCAAATAAACTCTGCAAAGTATTTCCACAAGGATGTTACTCCATGGGGCTGGGGCAGCCTTCGTCCCGAATGGTACTGAGACACATGGTCTCCTGTTGCATGCTTTCTAATTACATAAATGCAAAGGGGGTGGAAGGGAGAAAGTGGAAATTCTAAGTACCAAAAGGAATGTTAAATTTAGAATAATAAGCTCATCTGGAAGCTATCACCACTTTTTTCTTTAAGTGTGCTACAAGCACCACTTCCCCTCAGACACCAAAGAATGGTGTCGGGGTAAACACAGACCCGGGCAGGCGCTGGGGAGAAGTCCCATGTTCGATGAGTGGCCTCTGTGTTAAACAAGCAGGAGAGTCAATGGTAACTGTTCCCGCAGTCAGGCACCTTGAAGGAAGAGGACAAACAGCAACCAAGAGAGAGGCATGGCTGTCAAGCAGGAAGGCCATAGGATTTGGAGTCAGGACCCGCATCCAAGTTCCGACTCCACCACTTGTGACCATGGGGAGTTTCCTTAACCTTTTCAACTATGTTTCCTTGTCTGTAAAGGGGGAAAAAATAATTCCTACCCTGCAGGGTTTATTTTTTATTTTTTTGAGACAGAGTCTCCTTGTTGCCGCAGGCTAGAGTGAGTGCTGTGGCGTCAGCCTAGCTCACAGCACCTCAAACTCTGGCTCAGCATCCCTGGCCTCAGCCTCGCTGGAGCTACTTGGGACTAACGATGCGCCACCATGACAGCATCATAGCAAAACCAAATAGAGCAGTGGTCCGCATGCTGGTGACTCTGACCGGCACCCCACCACCCCCCTCCAGAGAGAACGTGAGTAGCCCACGCCAGCCATGAGAAGAGTCTCCCTGGTCCAGGCTAGAGTGGGCATGGCGCAGCCTGGTCAAGCACTCACCCCGGCCAGCGTACTGCCTCAGTCTCCGGTATGGGACACGGCACGGAGCCACCAGCCATGCAAAATTATGGTCAAATCAGAGAGAACGGGGTCGCTCGCTCTGCTGGTGACCCGCTGGCGTTCGCCGCTCCGATGGCGGGAAGACGTGACCACCCTGCGGCCACCGAGCTGAGGTCAAAGAGTCACACGGTAAAAGAGGGCTATGGCAAAATCTTGAAAGGTGAAGAGTCCAAACAGAAGGGATTATTCATGGCTCAAAAGCTTAGGGTGAAAGCAACTAAGGGAGGAGTGTTTTTCTGGTAATAAAAACCTAAAAATTGTTGGAAAACACTGCATCTTCTTAAGTATTAGTGTAGTGTCATTTATTTTCACACTACTCCATTGAGTTACATATGAGTAAGGCCACTGTGACTCTTCTGAAACCCCACCCTAGCTTTTTAAAGAATCAGAGTTATTTACCCGAGTCCACAGTCTTGGAGCTAGGCTAGGAGGGAAGGAGGGAAAAAGACACTGAAGAAATAGAATGGGAACCTGAGAACTCCTCCAGGAGCTTCCGGCCTTGTAGGAACCATGACTATTACTGAGCATTTGCATTCAGGATAATTGGCCTCAGTTGTTTGATCCTCACTTAAGGAGTTCAGAGCATGAAGGCATAAGTGGGGGAAGAAGATGTCAAGAATTCTTGAAGGAGGTGTGGGCAGGTGATGAGTCTTTAATAGGGAAGAAATTGAGGCTTGGAAAAAAAGAGCTCATTATCAACTGTCAATCAAGTGATCTTTCTCTATTCCTGGTCTAACGAGTTTGAGCCAGGCAGAACATATATCATGACACTTAATTTTTACAACAATCCCATGACAAAAGTACTATTATTCTCATTTTATAGATGAAGAAACAGATTTTAGAAGGATAAATTAACTTGCCCAAAGACAAGCAGGTAAAAGGTGATTCAGGCAGGATTTTAGCCTGATTTTTCCAGAGTCCAGACTTTTATCTACTCTGTATGCTGGTTAAAAGCTGTTAAAACTGGAAAGATCATTTCAAAGTGGTTTGAGCCAGTTTACACCTGATTTGACACACTTAAACATTGAAATGGATCAAAGTCAGTTTCACTGAGTTTAAATTGATAAGAATAAGCTGATTCAAGTTGAAATTAGCTGTATTTATTAAAAACATAATTCCTATGTTTACTAATCAGAAACATTATCAGAGCTTCAGGTCTGTGTTACTGATGAGTTTTGCTAAATCCTTACAAATGTAGTAAAGCATCATGATATTTTATTGGCCTATGCATCTTAATAACTGCATACTTCTCGATTTTTTTGAGACAATTTATAAACCATAAAATGTACCCATCACTAGATACAAAGAGAAAACCCTTTTTATAATGTATACTGGCAATAATTACTACCTTTATATTTCACTTTTAAGGGGTTCAGTTTTTTTGTAGCTTTTGATTTTGATATAGTTTTTTACACTTACAGAAAAGTTGTGAAAATAATGCAAAGAACCCTTTTGCACCTTTTACCTGTGTTCACCAATTGTTCACATTTCCCCCATTTTCTTTGTCATTCTGTGTGTGCATGTGTACTCACGCACAGTATTTTTGAGCCATTTGAGAATAAGTTGGAGACATCGTGCCATTTACCCCAAATACCCCAATATATATTGTCTAATGGGCTCCTGTGTATGTAATATGAGTATAAATGGGCTGTTCTTATGGCCTCCATCTGTGTCTACCTGCATACGTACACACCTTTCAATTTCTGTCACTCCTTGCCCTCTAGCTTTTCTGCTGTCTATATCTCTGGATATGATCGAGACCCAGAGTCCATTTTTATTATAATATTTAAGGAATAGTTTTATTCTTGCTATTTTCCAGTTAGGTGGTTAAAGTTAATGTTTTCTATATTTTTAAAGCTCTTAAATTAACTTGCTTTTTAAGTGGGTGGACTGACTGATCATTTCTATGGGTCAGTGACTTTCAATCAGAAGAAAAAAGCTTCCCCAAATTCTTACCATAGAGCATCCTCTGTTCTCATCTGAGCTTCCCTGGGTCACTGTGTAATCATGAGAAAGTCACTTGATCTCTCTGGGCCTCACTGGAAGACGGTTGTAATGATCCTGTCCCTTCCTGCCACATAGTACAGATGTGAGGTCAGGCACTCTGTTATTAGGGAGAAAAGTGATAGGCAGCTAAATAATATTTTATAACATCAATATATAATAAATTAGATCAAAATAATCACTCCCCATCTGAACTGAAAGTATATCAATTGTACTATCACATGATAGACTCTTTTTGCTTTTTAGATTCAAGGTTTCAAGGTCTCACTATGTTGCCCAAGCTGGTCTCAAATCCTGGCTCAGCAGTCCTCCTGCCTTGCCTCCATGATAGCCAGATTTACAGGCTCAAGCCATTACCTGGCTACTGATAGACTTTTTTTTTCCTTTTGAAAAGGTGGATGGGCTTATGGGAAGGCGGTGTCGTGCCTTGTTTGCTTTTTTTTTTTAGACAGTGTCTCTTGTCGCCTGGGTAGAGTGCAGTGTCATCATCGTGGCTCACAGCACCTCATCTGGCCAAGCCGATCTCTGCCTCAGCTCAGGTAAGCTGGTAGCTCAGGTGGCAGCAGCACATGCTGGCTAATTTTTGATTATGTTAGGACAAGCGGTCTCGATATGTTGTCCAGGCTGGTCTTGAACTCCTGGCCTCAAGGAATCCTCCCTGGCCTCCAAGTGCTGGGATGACAGGAGTGAAACACCAAGTCCAGCCCCTTAATCCATTCAGATCCTCCCCTTGAAGACTAGGAGGTCGAGTAACAGAAGGTAAAGACCGAATATGTCAATCAGCAGCATATCTATTAAGATTTCTTGACTCTTCTCCTTTGGCCCCCAAAACCAACCATAAAATTGCTTTTTGGCCTGGACCTGTTATCTGTAAAGCCTCAGTTTGATTGAGGATGGGGAGCCTTGGGGAATTTCTTTGACATTGCCAGAATCTCTGCTTGTCTTCCAAATGGCCGCCCAGCCTTCAACATCTCCCCCTCCCACCAGCCTTAACAATATTTTATGTGTGTTGTTTTCAGAAATTTTCAGTGGCTCCCCAATAAGCACAGAATATAGGTCCAAATTTCTTAGCCTGGCATTCAAGGCTGTCTACTCTGATCTCTACCTCCTACCATGTGGACTAGGATAGGGGCTGACACAAAAAAACAACTGGGTGGCAGGTGTGGTGCTCGCCTGTAACCGTAGATCGGGAGCCTCAGGAGGCCGAGGCAGGAGGATCTCTTGAGCTCAGGAGTTAGAGACCAGCCTGATCAAGAGAAAGACCTGTCTCTACTATAAATAGAAATTAGCCAAACAACTAAAAAAAGAAAAATTAGCAGGCCATGGTGTCGCATCCCTGTAGTCCAGCTACCCCGGAGACTGAGGCATAGTTGCTTGAGCCCAGGAGTTTGAGGTTGCTGTGAGCGAGGCTGACACCACGGCACTCTAGCCTAGGCAACAGAGTGAGACTCTGTCTCAAAACAAACAAAACAAACAAAACAAAACCCAACAATGGTGATCTAGCACCTCTTGTATTATCCTGGATAGAGCTGGAACCCATTCTACTAAGTGAAGTATTCCAAAATGGAAAACAAGCACCACATGTACTCACCAGCAAATTGGTGATCGACACTTAAGTGCACATATAGTAGTAACATTCATCAGGTGTCGGGCAGGTGGGAGGGGGAGGAGGGGATGGGTGTATTCTCACCTAATAGGTGTGGTGTGCAATGTCTGGGGGATGGGCATGCTTGAAGCTCTGACTTGGGCGGGGCAAAGGCAATATATGTAATCTAAACATTTGTACCCCTGTAATATGCTGAAATAAACAACATATATAAAAAAAGGATATGGGCTGAGAGCAGGGCCTCTGGAGCCAGACTTGGGGGGTTGCATTCCAATTCTGCCACTTATTAGCTATGAGGCCTTTTTCCATGCCTCAGTTTCCTCATCTGTAAATGGGCATGATGGTAATATTTCCCTCAAAGGTTACCACCTGTATGAGAAGTAATTATTAATGTATGAAAAGCCACTTGAACAGTGCCCGGCACATAGGAATGTTAGACCACTACCACCCCACCCCAAT